AAGGTGGCAATATTAATTTAATTAAATTTTATTGGGGCGTGAAACAAATATTTTACTCAAACAACATGTTCTGGAATCATTTATAAAGTTCTTGCTTAGCTCTGGCCCTAAGAAGAGAACCCACCGGTATTTTTAATTGTAATTTTTAAAAAATAACTGTGGGTTCCCCAAGGTCCCTTCTTAGGGCCAGAGCTAAGTAGCTTATGTTAAATAGCTGTTGTGCGGTCCTGATACAGTTTCATTTAAATAATAATGTTACCTTAATACTACAACAAGGTAACTTAGATTTTACAAATTTGAATACTACCAGTTCTATGTATTCTACTTGAAATTGTGTAACTAATGCTACATCCAGAAAATGTGTCAATTAAATATGTGTTTTTCAAGTTACGTAATAATAAGGTGACACTATGCCTATGCGTTCCACAAGGTTCCTTCTTAGGGCCAGAGCTAAGCAAGAACCTAATAAATGATTCTAGAGCATTCAGTGCTGATAAAGTGTGTCAAAGAGATTCAATACAATTGATAGAGATGACGATGATAATGATAGTTGCATAAAATGAGATGTATTAATAGGAATTGGCAATAATAGTGGTGCATGTAGATTTAATGGGGTTGTGGGAGAATAATTATTAGATAATGCAGTTGTATAATGTGCATGGCATGAAATTTTGTGTAAAGTTTTGGCGGGCAGATAGGCGATAGGAATTGACGTATGTGTGGAGGCAGATAGAGAAAACGTGCGATAAATATTAAAATCGAAATGAAATTGGTGGCGCGGCCATCAAAGAGTAATATTTACCGAATTCAATTAACTGATATATCATATATAAATTTCCCTTTATAGCGGTGACATTTTGTATTGGACAGCGGCGAATTCGACTGGACGCCCTATTTTAATGCCGAGCCAGTTTGGGGGAGCTGTCCGACGGGCCCTCAATCCATCATCATCTGACACATATATAGAATTTTATTTTGCGGTATCGATGCATTGGCCGAAACTCCACTAGAGCGTTTTGCTACGGGATCAGCTTCTCGCGGAATGACGCTTTGATTTATAGCTGACGCCGCTAATCTACGTGACATATATGTTTTTATTGTTGCGCGCAAAACGTCCACTTTTATAATTTCAGATAAAATCTCTATGAATTACACGCAGGACACAGCGGGCAGGAGGAAAAACTGCTGCCGCAAGGGACGGCGCGGATTCCTGCGGACTAATCCACGGTTCTATGTAAATGTAGGGTCATTAGTGTGTCGTTAACCGTGAACGTAAGGCGACCGAATCGATTAACGCTAAGTGACTGCGTAATTAGCTGTACATGTTGCCGTTTCCGCCCCGTTTACCATCCCCCGACCCTAACTTAACTGATCCTGATCCTACAGCAGGCCTGCAGCTTGCCCGAAACCCTACCAGCCACAGACCGCTTGCAAATTAAGGACCACTCACTCCTAATTTCCAGCACACCCACTAATACTCCTCCACTCTTACACTCTTTCAATTCCTATACACACGATCACCCCTCTACAAACACTCTACGAACTACTTTTTAACCATATCAAACCTCCAAATAACATCTGTAGTTAGTGACACAGGTATGTTATAAGAATATTAAAGAACTAATGTCATAAGTCATACATATGGTTTCCAGAAAATCAGAAATCTTGTTATTAAAAACGACAACAAAAGTAATAAAAACAACTCTAAAGCCTTAACGGTAAATGAAATAAAGAAATTAATCAACTGCATTATTCCGCGATGTTTGAGGGGTTGGATGTTTTTTGTTTTTGTCCCAGCCGAGAAGCTCAGTTGAGATTTTGCTAAGTTATTAATTCCCCAGCGAGCTTTTTATTTAGCATTTTTATTTAATCTGAGCCCGCTTTTATTATCGTAAAACATTCCACATTTTTATATAAATTAAATCCTTCCTCCTCCGTCTGAAGCATCAACCATCAGCAATTGATGTTTGAGTTAACTGCGAAACAGAGCCGGCGTCAACCAACAAGATACATGTTCTGGAATCATTTATAAGGTTTTTGCTTAGCCCTGGGAACTCACCGGTATTTTTAATTGTAATTTTTAAAAAATACCTGTGGGTTCCCCAAGGTTCCTTTTTAGGGCCAGAGCTAAGCAAGAACTTAATACATGATTTTTGGAACAAGTAGCTTAACAATAGCTGTGGGTCATGATACAGTTTCATTTAAATAATATTGTCACCTTAATACTACAAAGCTTAAGCCTCAACCATCAGCAACTGATGTCCGAGTTAACTGCGAAACAAAGCCAGCGGTTGGTTTTATTATTAAGGTGACAAAATTATTTTAATAAAACTTGTTTAGTTCGTACAACATATATTTTATACAAGCTACATGATGTGGAGTTTATAAGGTTCTTGCTTAGCCCTGGCCCTAAGAAGGAACCTTGGGGCACCCACCGGTATTTTTAATTGTTTAAAAAAAAAAAACCTGTGGGTTTCCCAAGGTCCCTTCTTAGGGCCAAAGCTAAGCAAAAACCTAATAAATGATTCTGGAACATCAGCTTATCTGAAATAGCTGTTGTACAATCCTAACACAGTATCATTTAAATATTGTCACTATTACAACCAGGTAACTCAGATTCTATGTGTCACTGCAATCTGTGTCAAATAAATATGTTTTCCAAGTTACGTAATATTAAAGTGACACTATGAACAACCGAAAATGTCTGAGTTCCACAAGGTTCTTTCTTAGGGCCAGAGCCAAGCAAGAACCTGATAAATGATTCTAGCGCGTTCGGTCCTGATAAAGTGTGAGCTTCATTAAAATAATATGACCCCGGAGAGAACAAAAAAAAATAATAATCTGGACAAAAATTCCCCAAGCACTTTTTTCGTATTAAGGAAGATGGTCGTAAAAGTGTAAGTAAGTGTCTACTTTAAAGATCCTGCACCTTCATTACCTCAACTCGCGGAAATTAAAAATTAATTTTATCTTTGTTACAAGTTTAATTAAATTTAAATATGAATGGCTTAAACAGCGGGTGTCGAATTTAACCCGAACTCCTTTTAAAACTTATCTCTGTTATTTTTTAATCCCAAAGGGGTCCAAATAATTAAAACGTAACTGCCTCTCTCTACAAACAAATTATGTTTTCTTTTCTTTTATAATATTGCACAAATAAAAGTTTTATAATTTTCTTATATAAATATTATAATTATTTTTTAAGTAATAAAAGTTTATTATCATTAATATTTTAAGAGCCATCTTGACATTATAATATATTATACAATTTTATTATTGATAATTTAAATAACTAAATACTATATATAGTATTAAATAAAATATTTTGAAACATTTATGGGGACTCAATAAAACATAGGTATATTAATAATACCTATTTAAACGCAGACTTAAGGAAGTGTGGTTTTAAATATGATAGATTTATTACTTAATAAGCTCGTAGGCAGTTCTTTGTCCAAAATTTAAGTAAATAGTTATAGAATGTAATTTATTTATGTAATTATTTGTTTTATTTAATTGATCTATTAAGTTACAATGCAAAAGCTTTATGACCACTAATAAAACTTTACAATTTTGTTAACTATCAGTTGCCTAATAATACATAAACTTAATAAATAAATTGACAACGAAAGAGCCCAAAAATATTTTGATTCAAACACATTAAAAAACAATTTTTAAATAAAAAAAAATGGAATATATTGTTGGGATTTAGATAGATTGGGGTATTGAAATATGTTAATTTTTCAATTATAAATCTGATAGAAATATGTTAAGTGACGGTTGGTTGAGTCTGAAGGCAGTGAGAGAACTGTCAACCGAGCAATTAGGCTTGGGTTTCACCGCAACATATCGGCTCGTTTCAAAACGAATCCGATTAACTTTAAGTATATTGTGGGGTTAAAATAGGCCGGATCCAAATCCCCCATGAGTAATTCGGTAGCGCTGCAAGCTTGTTTCAACTCTATGTTCGGAATTAATGAAAAACGTTTTGTTCACTTTTGTGAAGAAGAAACGATGACAAGTGTAAATGCCTCACCCCCCCACCCCCTACCCCCTCTTTGTTACACCCACGAATTTGCATTTTTATTGAATCTCTAGCCGGCCAGATTTAAATATAAGCCCTGAATGTTCACAAAAAACAATTCGTCTCATATCAAGGTAAACCTCAGCTCATGCCTATTTTACATTTTTAATATCGAATTTACATATTTATCTTCTTATTAAGCTTTAACAATATCTTTTAATCCATTGTAAGTAAACAAGTAACTGAGTTACACTTTGCTTCTGAAGATGCCAACATGTTGGGGAATGTAAGTAAACAAAAAATAAAGGGTTACTATGAAACTAGAATCATTCAATCTATTAAATTAGAGAATCATTAATAGAAATCAGAAAAGCAAACGATCCTAAAACTAAACCCAATTTTTGTTGTTTTTCAGATTCCAGATCCAGCCCAGGCTATTTCGAGCATGGTCTACATAATCCCTAACATTATACGCAATGTTTCGTGTATTTGAAGTCAGTAAAGAAGAATAGAATATTAGGTAACCCCCTGGCCGTCAACTGTATTCCTCTCATGATGAATCGCTTAAGGAGGGGTGCGCGGCATAGCCATATAATCTCCTGACAAATTGAATTAGGGCGCTCAGCATCCCTGCTAGGCACTTGTTTATAACAAACATCGTCAACGTTATTTGGTATTTCTGATCTGATTGATATCGAGGGGGTGCGATTGGAACAAAGATTTTTCCCGACCTTAAATGAGATTGATGGCGTCGTACTAAAACTACTGCTTCCAGATTTCGCTAATGAAATATTTATATGGCAATAAAAGTTGAAATTTGCTCCTTTTTAGGTACATTATTGATAGTCATCATGTTATGTTTTTATCAATACAAGATGGCATCATAACAAAGTCGCAATTTTATTTAATGAAACATTTATCCAATATGGCAATAAAAGAAAAGTTTTGGGAAAACATTATTTAAAGAGAAACTTACCTTAACTTGCGACTCGGTCATCCCCAGAGCATAGGCCAGCTTCGCCCGTTCCGGACCTGCCAAGTATTTGGTTTGTTCGAATGTTTTTTCCAGCGCGAATATTTGTTGTCCGGAAAAGGTGGGTCTCGTGTGCTTTTTCTTTGCGTCTTTGTCGCTACCCAGACCGCCCATGTTGCTTTGATTCACTGGAAAAAAAATGTCTTCACTTAGTTGTGTATGATAAATAAATGTTCGGAGATGAAACATGACAACAGACTACAACATGTGCCGTGGGGGAGTAAAATGATTTTTCTGATTTTGTATTCAGCTCACAATTTCGTTTTTTCGGTATACGCCATTGGTTAACTATTGAATTCTTTTTACTGCTTGCGGAACAACCAGTTTATAGAGAACCAACTATGAAATTTTATGTCTTTTTCAACTTTCTTACATTTTAAAATAACACATAAAACACCACATCATTTTCTACATAAAAAGGAGTTGTTTTTTATCCGTGTTCATGCATTTTTGTATGATAGTCAAATTTAAACTTACCGTATCTATAATAGAGATCGCTTTCTGCAAGAATAAAAATATTTTAGTTTTTTTGCATGGAACATTTTTATTTATATAAGTAAATATTGCAATAGAGGCACAATGTGTTGGAATTTTCTATTATTAGAGAGTCAATACTTTTATGCTTGTAAGATTCTACTCTGAACCTTAGCAGATGTCTATATAATAATCTATATATGCTGACAACGTTGGATACGGTATCCGATAGCCCTCTTGGGATACATAAGCTCCCGTACAAATTCAATAATACATCCAGAACATTTTACAGAAAACCTTTCCGATATAGAATACGGAATTCCTTCCTTTTCGCCGAAATGATCTCCCCGTATTTCTCTATCGCTGAAAATAGTGAACACATTGTTTTAAATCACGTCCATGGATCCATATATGGATAAAAAGAGATCCTACATATTACATTATACACTTTTACTGGCCATTTTATCATAATGATCATATTTCTTTTAATACTTTTACACGATATTGCTATAGTAAAAGATTTCCACTATATACTTTGAAAAGACAATTCCGGTCTTTGATGTTATAAATACAAATATCGATAAAGCTTTATCATAAGATTCTTTCTTCTAAAGGAAAATGTAAAGTTTTTTGACAAATTCTTATCCAAAAGTTTGATTAAGGACCTGGAAAAAAACTCCAAATGTTGTAAGTAGTTGTTGGAGTAATGTTTAATAGTAGTAACAATGGCAATGGAAAGGGGATGAATATGAAAACTAGTTATGGAGCAGCGAAACATGGCTAAGATGTTCGTAGCACAATCAGAGAATTATTCATATAACTAGAGGGATAACACATTACAGACATAACTGTAACATGTAAGAGTGTGTAAGCATTAAGATAAGCGAGATGAAGCGATACTAAAGTGGATAATCTCATGATCCTGTTATCTAGAGATATAATTATTCTAACAGGGTGTCTTGCTTTGAACAGCTTGCCGGAACGCTGCAACGACTGCCTCCCCACCCCTTTCACAGCTTCACGTTGCTAGGTTACCGCCTCCGGCAACCACAGAAACACTGCTACAATGGTGATGCTTGTTCAACACGACACGCACAACACTTCGAACGATGAATGTTACGTGATGATAACAATCTTACTGCCGCTGCTTTTAGTTCCTCCGCACTGCCGTCGCCTCTTGCCGCTCCTTTCCTTCGTCTTACAACAAGACGAACTCCTTATTTCTATTCCATTTTCTCTTTACTTTATTTCATAATCTTTTGTCTATCCATTGCTCCATCATCTCTTTCTAATAGTGTTCCACAAAAATAATCTTTTCTAATTTGAGTTAAGTTGAGTTAATTTATCCATATAAAATAATTGTATGATTGATTTATTGCTTTCTATAGAATTTTCTTTGAAACTGATATTTTGTAAAATCAAAAAACAACCCTTCTGATCTGAGTTAGCTATTCCATGTTGTGTCCATCGTAACAACAATGTGGAATCCTAAAACCTGGGTCTCTTTATTGTATAATCTCAAAATTAAGGATATAATATTAATTCGAATAGGCCCATTTAAGGGTATTAAAACGGCGATAAATCACGTGATTTCCTCCCCTTTTTATATGGTTAAACGGCGAAGTATAGAGCACGTGTTGCCAAGTGCACACAATTAGATATGGTCGGATATAATTTCTTAAATAACGAAACAAAACAAAAATTGAACAACCTTGTCGGTATCAGTGTGGCATATGTTGAGATTAAATAATAATTACAACGAGAAAAGCAAGCTTGAAGTGCATGTTCATTTAATGAAATATGGTTGTGTTTACAGTATTTATTACTCTTTTATTTTTATTGATTTTACGGAAATAATTATTACTGTTTATTTACATTGTTTTATCCATAAATTAATATTGCTGGAATGTTAATATTATTCAATATGTAATCATACAATGTTTTCTATTATATTACATATTTCATTCCACTTTAATAATCTAACTACAATATTTCACAATGAAATCGGATAATGTCATTATTTATTGATTGAATTATTAAATGTGGTCAACATTTTTGAACAAGTATACCATTTTTGAAGCCGGAAAAATAAAGAATTAAAAGCATTGATTATAAATCATAGATATGAATTTTAATTTGGAAATTGAATCGAAAAAAATAAAATAAACGGATGATTTATGAAAAAATCGTTGAAATGATGATGAAATTTCGGCTTCTGTGGGGAAATATGAAAAGGGAATTTTTATGGGATCAATTAAAAGATACGAACGGATATGCAACACAACATGATCACCATTATACGGAAACTGATGATAGGGTGAGATATTCACCATAAAATACTAAACCAATTATTCCGGAATACCGCATCAGTCAGAAATGACGTTCTAAAACATATTAAATTTAATTTAATTCTCTTACGTCCGGATTTATTATGATTAACATTCAGAATGGGCTCTTTTATTACAGATCAAAACCATCATTCCAACCTGGCATCAGATCACACAGGAAAACAAATATGAATAGGTTTTCAAACCTATTAAAAAAACAGATTTTTTGCATACAATGGTGCTGGTCATCACACCAAAAAATGCTTTAAAACTTTTGTAAAAGTTTAAGCATATTGGACAAAGAAGTTAATTTAGATTTGTTGCGAGATAATTTGCGATGAAGAATGCAAACGTAATCAATAAATAGATAAAGTTGATGGTCAACATGGTGACAAAGGGGCCAAAGGAGCGGGAGTAAATTGGTCCTCTGCACGGCAGCTGAAGGCAGTTAAAGCTCCTAAAAGGGCCGTAGACTAGCATGACAGAGCGTTAAATGTAGCAGCAATGTACAACTAATTCACTAGCAGAGTCTTCAATTAGCGAAGTTGGAAGCTATATAGCTATACCTCGAGCAAATGCCATCAAAGAAACCATGTTAGTTATTATACGAGACATACTTCAAATAAGTGTTTATTACAAACATAAGACACAAACTTGTCTTAATTAAATTTATATACGAAGGATACACAATTTCTATTCCCTTTGTTTACAAATTATTCTCTTATTTTACCCCCCTCTGTCATTCGCAACCCTTTTACTTCCACTTTTCAACTCAAAAGCATATTACTCATCTTTCCAAATGGCTTCATTAATTTTATTTTAGTATGATAACATGGGTTAAACATTATTAATTACCATAATAAAATCTATAAAACAAGTGCTCTTCCATACTTTCTTCAAACTAATACACCTTCATAAAATTATCGTTCAAAATTTTACGCCCATCTCTCTCCAGATGTCTACATCTAAAGTTCACTTATATCATTGTCCATATGCTATATTGAACAAAAAACTCAAAGAACAAATATGAGGATGATGATGAGCCTCAAAGACCTATAACCACGACCTCTTTACTTGGCTATATGTTTAGAATCAAAGTTTTTGAGGGTCATTATCATCCTCATGGTTACTCTTCAAGAATTAGGCTCAATATGGCATACAAAATGTAATGTCCGTATGCCATATTGAACCTAATTTTAGAAGAGTAACCATGAGGATGATAATGATCCTCAAAATTCTAGACAATTAGCCAAGTAATGTAAAGAAAACAACACTCCCCATATGCTAGACTAAACCTAATTCTTGAAGAGTAAATATGAGGATGATGATGAGCCTCAATAACCTATAACCACCACATCTTTACTTGGCTATATGTCTAGAATAAGTTTTTGAGGGTCATTATCATCCTCATAGTTACTCTTCAAGAATAAGGTTCAATATGGAATAAAAAATGTTATGTCCCCTATGCCATATTGAAAGTAATTTTTGAAGAGTAACCATGAGGATGATCCTCAAAATTCTAGACATATAGCCAAGTAAAGTAAAGGAAACAACATTCTCCATATGCTACGAGTATAATAAAGCTAATTCTTGAAGAGTAAATATGAGGATGATGGTGAGCCTCAAAGACCTATAACCACAATATCTTTACTTGGCTATATGTCTAAAATTAAAGTTTTTGAGGGTCATTATCATCCTCATAGTTACTCTTCAAGAATAAGGTTCAATATGGCATAAAAAATGTAATGTCCTTATGCCATATTGAACGTAATTCTTGAAGAGTAACCAAGAAGATGATAATGATCCCCAAAATTCTTGACATATAGCCAAGTAAAATAAAGAAAACAACATTCTCCATATGCTATAATAAAGCTTATTCTTGAAGAGTAACATGATGGGGTCAAAAAACTTTGATTCTATAGACATATAGGTAACCAAATTAATTTTAATATTTGCTCTTCGAGATTTGGGTTTGATATAGCATATGTTTTAAAAAAGTAATTATGTTTATATTAGTGTATATGAAACAAAGATGATTAGTTGTGAATGGTGTGTGGCATATGCCTTTCTTCATTAGCAAGTTGATTAGGTGATATCAATACTAATTTCGTTATCGCGTAAAGAGGCACATATGTTTGTAGCATTATTACATCATATATCACAATATACAACTAGAGGTGATTGCGGGCAGTCTAACAGAGAGCTGAGGCCCGCTCTCCCCCACCCCTTCAATTTTAACGCTCACGGTTCTCTCGGATACGTAATGACCAGTGACGTATGTGTATGTGTTATTTGTTAGGCGCCATCTGGTTGTAGCGTTATTAACTTGGCAAATCAAACAAGCTGAGACATTAATTACCGAGATCTGATAGCTGTCGTCCAATTTCAAAAGCTTGTTTTCATACGTATCATAATATTTTATACTTCTGCCAATCAGACATAAATTACTCATTTCCAGAAACGGGGATTTAGGATTAGCACCTACGCCACCTTTTTTATGCAGGCAAATACTAATCCCCGCTTATGGACACTGAAATTGCAAATTTCAATCTTTTAATCAACGCAATTTTTTATCGGATTTGGTTGAATACAGGGTAAATCCATACCAAATTCTCATTTTTGAACCATCTCCATAAAGAGTTTTTTGATGGTGCGAGGTCTGGAGATCTTGGAGGCCACCATTTAGGACCATCACGACAAATGTGAAGCCTTGGAAATTTTACAAGAACACTGTACACCTACGAGTATGGAAATACAAAAAACTACTTTGTATTTGTCCAGTGATGTTGTATAATTTAAATAAAGCGTCCTAATTGGAGGCCTACAAGAACTTGAGACATTACACTATTCTTTATGGAGTGGTTTTAAAAACGAAGATGAACATTTCCATATTTTTTGGGGTTCCACAAGGTATTGTCTCGGGACCCTTTATTTTCTGATTTTTGACATTGATAGATTTATAATGTGCATTTAGTTTTGTCGCCATATATAAATTAACGGGTTTTTGATTATGCAGGCTGTTTGGTACGTTCCTCCTGACTCACCCTGTATAATCATAAACCCGTTCGTTTTTATATGGCGACAAAAATAAATGCATTATAAATAGAATAATTTAAAAAGCTGAGACGTGTATCGAATAATATTTCATATTAAACATAATTGATGTAATCCCTTGAAAAAAATGAACTGGGGTGGAACGGTGAGCATAACACATTTACGTATTAATATAAATGTAGTGTAAATATAAGTAAAATTCAATAAATGCATTCAAAGCCAATGACTTGGTAATAATGTTATATATAGTTCAATCGTAAAAATCTGTTACATTTAGAAATCGTGTGTAGAGAAAAATCGGTAATGATGTTTTATTCAATGCGACGATCGGAAAATCCCCTATTGAGGTAAATAAAACACAAATATTGTTTTACGTTTGAAGTTTCTTTTATCTGTAAGAACGCTACAATGGCTAAATAAACTGATTTTTTCTTTGGGCTATATGCGTACAATTATTAGGTTTCCCAAAGAATGTATTAAATGATGTGGTTTCTGAATTTAGTTGTTGGGATGCGTAGATAATCCAATGGATATTTATTTGATCTGATTTGGCATCATGTGCATGAGATCTTGCTGTTAATAGTGCGTCTACGTACAGAGTAGAATGTTGATGATTGCACGTCCTCATCTAGTTTACCTATTTAACCATAATACCCATCGTAAACACTGTTATCCGCACTACAAACCAATTGTTGATCCACTATTGTTTGTTCCACCACTTCACAAACAATAGCTTCAACACCTTATACCAAAAATTAATCTATGTGTTGGTTTTGGTCTAGATAAATATGACTAGCGTGAACGTGAAAATTGAACGTTGTTTATCAGGTATACCTGATTTGCGGGCGGAGGAAAATATTGATAGAATTGATTGAAGGAATATTAGAAATATTCCCCAACACCGAAACAAAACACAAAGTGCTTGAAGTACTTTTCGCCAACGATGTTGGCATCTTTAGAAGCGAAGTGTAACTGAGTTACACTTCGCTTCTGAAGATGCACTTTGTGTTTTGTTTTGGTGTTGGGGAATATTTCTAATATTTGTTCAACATTTCACCAAAATTGTCCTTTTTCAAGTAATAGAATTGATTGACTTACTTGTTCCGACTCGGTCTCCTCCTCGGGCGAAGTGGTTGAGGCCCGGAAGCGGCGGCCAGTAGATTCCTCCTGCGCCGAGGTCCACCGAAGGCTTGTTGATGGAGTTGGCTGCATGATGGTGGAAAAAGGCCGCTGCGGCGAAATTAAATCTACGCAAACCCGAATTGGTGGCCGTTTGCGCGCTATTCGACGCCATACCGAGGGAGTTTTGCGTGAAAGCGAGGTTGTGAGGGAAATGCAAAGGTCCGGTGGTGATTTGCGTGGGTCTGGACAATATATGGTCGATACCGTGGGGATTGGCCCCTTGAGAACTGTTACTATTACTAGTTGCACCGAGCGGACTGCGAGACGTCAAGCCGGAGCGTTCTACATGTAAACTTGTACGCTCCAGCAAAACGTCGGCATCGTTTTTGTCCTGGCAACGGGATAAGCGGTCTGGACTGAGGTGAGGTTGATGCTGTTTCATTTCGGTCATCGAATGCAGAGCGGCCAGCGGCGCGGCCAACATGTTACGGTGCTCGATATTGAGGAAACTCAAGTTTTGCTGACTAGCGAACTCTAACATTTTCGACACTGGCGGCGGAGGAGTCACAGATACTTCAGAACGATCACTAGACGCGTCGCTGTGTTGCGTCATTGCTATTGGAGACGCCGTGGTTAACGCTGAAGACGCGAACGAGCCGCGTCGTCAATGTCCTGCTGCTTTGCCTGTCCAAGTGATTCACAAATACGAATTTGACACGTGCTTGACACTACACATCACAAGAGTACCAATGTATGTCTACTGTCACAAGGAAATACCGCGAGTGACTACTCAATTGGAGTTGGAGTGTCGTAAGAGAGACTGGCTGAGTGGCTGTGCAGTCGGTCCGTGGTGGTATCAAGTCGTCGGGCGATAGGATCCGATGAGAGGTGAGTGAAGAGAGGCTCTAGGTGGGCGGTGGCCAAGCTACGTTACGATGGCAAGGTGAGATGACGAAGGCCGCGGTGGGGATGTCTATGAACTGTTACTATACTGCATGTTAAATATGTGCTACTGTTAAAGCTCATTACGTTGCCCTCTATTCGGTTTGGCTGTGCGTGTCGCTTGGCTGCGTGGCTGCACTCTGCTCTATTTTTAAAAGAGATTAATGCTTTTTTCATTGGCGGAAAGGAGGACCGCCAACACCGCTCCGGCCCGCCGATTGGTCTGGCGCTCCTTTTCTGGTTACGCCCGCCATTGGCTGCAAGACCGCCCTACCCCCTCCGGTCGCGACTCACTCGTATTATCGCACTATACATGGGACTCAATCTGTAAGAAGGTATTTTACTAGCATAAACATGTTAGCGGTGGAACAGGGCTCTCGCTTCTTCTCCTCTCTTCTCTCTACTACAAACTCATACTGCCTACACCCTACATCGTCTGCGCCTTCTTATTTACTCCAAATTATTATTGCCTCTACACTACACTAAATCAAAAATATTACCCTAATTATATAATAATTTTATATAAAATTAATTTCATCCTCATATACAGGGTTTTCTTAAATTTGAGGTGATTGCTAAAAATTTTAATGTTTTATAATTTCATAGCAGGCGGAGAAAGCACTTATTAAAATCAAACTCAGTGTTCGCTGCCGAGACGTCAGTCGAGGCAGTTAATATGCTTCCTTTGCCGTGTTGTATATACTTTTTATTCAATCGTTTAATAATTCTGTTCTTACTTACATTGAAATTATCGAGTTTGCGACATTTTGTCATGGGTTTGACGTTTGATATAAAGGTTACGTTACGTTATGTTATATATCTTATTACTCATTACTGTACGGCGGTGTATAATAATTTGACTTGTGAACTGCCCACAATGCCTTTCTATGCTTATAAGGGTAATACGCTTGAAAAAAAATCTATTATTTAGAGAAAAATATGTTGTGTGCTATTTTTTTAATTTTGAAAATTATTTTTTATTTTTTAACAGTTTTTATTCTGAAAACTAATTTGAAAAATATTTTAACATTAAATTAAATTTTTATGATTAGATAAAGCGCTATATCATAGCCGAGCTCAGGCTGCAGATCTGAGCGGGGCAGTTAATACGCAGTTAATACGCTTAATTCTGTACTTACTTTGGAATTCTTGAATTTGCGACATTTTGTTATAGGTAGATAAGGTTGACGTTTAACATTATAGGTTATGTGCATCAATGTATTCTACAGTGACCTGTAATTACAGTTACTCAAATTTATTTCGAGCAAAATGCGATAGTTGGGACCACTTGAAATAAAACATTTTTTATTAAAAAAATGTTTCTACTTCCACCTTTCCTTTCCACCCATTATCGTACATGTTTGCATGACACTAAGTGACGTTTTAAATACACATTGACAAGTTGTGGCTTTATGGCGTTTTAGTCACGGGCTGAAGTTCGCAGCAGGTTTTTAGTCACGGGCTGAATTTTTTTGACAATTGTCAAATGTTATAGATACAAGCGTTAAAATAAAGTGCAGTTCTTGTAAAATAATACGTAAAAAATATTTTATTATCTCAATACAAAAATACAAGTATTAAATAGTTTCTTTTTAATTTCGCTGGCAGTAAACTAGATTTAATTTAATTTCGGGTGGAAACTCCATTTTCAAGGGATACATTTTGATTAACACAATTTGACATTTTCACCGGAGCGCCGATAATACAGATTCCCTAGAATGGTTACTCTATTATTATAAGTATTTTTCGTAGAAAAAGTATAGTATTCAACTCGTTTAAAAACTTTTCTAGACACTCATTTAATTAAACACTCGCTCGCAAGCTCGCTCGTACCTAATTAAAATTCGTGACTAAAATGGGGTTTATCAAATTCGAGACATAATATACTATAAATTATTTTTACACAATCACGGTTTTTAAAACAATTTTAATTGAAAAACATTTATTTTAAAAATGACACAATTTGAACACCCTGTATTTTATTCTTTTTATCTCGTTAAAGACGTTCCAAAAATATTAAAAATCTTATATTACAAATAATATTATTTCCTAATTGTTTTTTAAGTACAAAAAATATAATTTAATTTTAAAATAAAGAAATTAATTAATAAAAATGATAGAAAAAAACATATTTCATAATTTAATATTTGTAATTTTTTACTAAAAAATATTATTCAGTTTAATATTTTTGAAAAGTACTTTTTGCCGTTTTAAAAAATACATTGATTACGATCGATTTTGTTAAAAGTTTGTTATTAAAAATATTCTCAACTTAAAAAATATTTTCATTAAAAAAAAGTTTTTATTATTTTCTTATCAATACAAAATTTTATTAATAATGTAATTAAAATAATATTTGTATTTTTTTACTTTAATCAAGACTTTAAATGTAAAATATTTTGTAAATTACAAACTTCAAAAAATGGCGAATGCGCGGGGATATTATTTAAAATATTGTTTTTATCCAGCATTCCACTAATAAATCGGACAATATTTTAACTGGGTCCGGTATTGGTTCTATTAATTGGCCTTCAAGCTCTCCAGACCTCACTCAACTTGATTATTATTTAGAAGGTTGGTTAAATCATAAATTATCTAATCCTTTCGACTAATAATACTATGTATGTATTCCTTAAACTATTTTTACAATGTATTTTTCTTGAATAGATAAAAATACAGAACGGTTGCTTTTAAAAGTTCAATAAATGAAAATAGGAATAAAACTTTTATGATTTAATATATCAGTTGTTTCTGTTAGCTTATTGATTAAATGCGTTTATATGGTGTTATTTCAGAAGGGACCAATTTGGAGAAGAATGTTGAGAGAGTAATTTTTCTTGGAGTTTGTCCCATATATATTGCTATAAAATTAGTACTACTACTTTTGGTTTAGTGTTTGTGGTTGGGTCCCTAAGTGGCCATTTGTTACATTCGTCGGACCTTTTAACACGTCTATTCTACTTTCCATCTATCTACAATTAACTACATTTCTTATGGTTGGACTGAAAATACTGCATACTTGTCACGTACACTAAGATTCATTGTTTTTATTTGATTTACTGGTTAGTGCAAATTTAAATTTACGACACTCCATTAAAGATATTTTCAAACAAATTGCATTATTTATCGCATCGGTTTGCCTTTTACTTTTTTATTGCGATCGCCAAAATTAAGTTTTTGATTTTCCATGTTTCTGAATAAGTAAAAACTTTATAAGTGTATATGAAAGGTTGGCAATCTTTATTTCTGACAGGGTAAAGCGCAAAAGATATATATGCTTTGTAGGCATTATAGATTCAAGTCGAGTTTTTGAATTCAATTTTCGCAATCGCAATCTTCAGCTTCTATTGGTCAGTTGCCGTTCGGCATTTCAAATTCAATTGTATATCTCTGGAGATAGATAGCGGGACCGGCCACAAGGGTGTATGTAAATGACACCGGGATCTTAGATATTCTGAAATCTGAACCGATATCTGCACCTGTGTTCTTTTCTCTGACCACCAAATATTAACACTTTAGATAGAAAATCCAATATCCAAACCACAAATAACACTTTTAAATTGTTTTCGGGATTTTCTTTTTACTCTACGGCATAACTTTGACCTTCTAAAGCTCCCACCACAATTATCCATATAATAACTTTCAACAATGTTTTTTATTTGAAGAGTTCAATGTCGGTTAAATTAGAGAAAAGTTGCGTAAATATAAGCCTATCAACCAGTGGCGTAACAAATTCTGAGTGCCCCCCCCCACAAACGATTTTAATGTGCCCCCTTTACTATGAGTAAAAAGTTTATTATTACCCTTGGGTAATTTTTAAATTAGTTTATCATAGTACTTTTAAACCCACATTATATACCTACATAATACTTTTTTAATTAAAATTTTTGACAGGTAGGTAAATAGTGTATACGATAGAAAGGCATAACTTACATATGTCACATAAGATAAGCAAATAAAAAAGAATTAGGTAAGAAAAATGGCTGTGTTTTTATTCACAATATGCTTACACGCGTAAAAACTTATTTAAGTTCATGTGTAGTTATCGTTTGTTAACGGAATTTTAATTATATATATATATATATATACAGAAAATATTTAGGTAATTATTATTTAAATATTTTTTAAAAGAATCTTAATAAGATAAATATTATAGAATTACGAAAAATTGCAGATACATCCTGTATCTGCAATTTTTGATAGTAAAACAGAAAATATTTAATTAATTTTGGTTTAAAAATCTTATTCTATTCTATAATATATAATATCTTATTAAGATTCTTTTAAAAAAATATTTAAATAATAATTACCTAAATATTTTCTGTTTATATATACAGTTCATTTTTTTTATCTGGACTCGTGTTTTTTTGTTAGGTTGGTGGCTTATGCCAGTTTGACTTAGTATTTTTAGTTTTTAAAAATGGTACTTTTGCTAAAGAATTTAATTAAATACTTTGACACTGTCAAATTGACAATAATATTTATTATTGATAATTTACTCGTCAATTATAAATAAAAAGATAATTATGCCAAAAATAATAGCAACGAATTCGAATGTAAAAGCCCTTTTGAGGGCAAAACTTCATTTTGATGAAATTATGCCAAATGCCACAATGGAAGAAAAAGTACATCGCCTTATGGACTTTTTGGAGTAAAAAAGTAACGAATTTGGTTTTATAAATATTACCTCACACAATATTTTCACATTATTCACCATTGGACAACATTTACGTTCACAAAAAATTTTAATTTCTTTTATATAAATTCTTTTCAAAGCGAAGATTATTATCCGCTAGGAATACTTTCTCTTCTGGGCCGTAAAGCAACCTATATTTAACTACTTTTTTTATATGATTTTACTCATCCAAGCACCACCAAAGCCAAATTAATTGCATTTTTAACTACGAATTTCGACAACT